TGGATAATTGTATTTTTTCCTTTTACCTAATTAATTTTAATAGAAATAGCAAATTGTTTTTTTTAATCTGCCTCCTCCATTTTTATCTGTGATCATAAATGATTCAGTAGAGCTAACTTTTTTTTAATTAAAAGTAAGTGGCTGATATGATTGACTCAGTTGATTACATATACTAGACAAAAAGTTATTTTTTCAGAAAAAAAAAATTTCTGAATTTTGCATAATGTTATCAGAATTTCAATGAAATTTGATCAAATAGAAAATAGAATAAAAATATTATTGCTTTTTTTAAGTATAAAATCACTGAAATCAAATCTCAAACATTGGATGGAAGTTGTCAAAATTGCTGGATTATGAAAACTTAAAAAAAAAAAAATTATAACTTCTGAATTAGATCTTACAAAAGACTTAAGATTAAAAAAAAAAATCATCTTAACATCTTCAATGACATGTTTAAGCCAAAATTGTAGACATTCTCCAGAAACTAAATGATGTTGGAATGCAGGTATTAGTCACAGTGTGTGGAAGACAAAATGAAGACAAGGCATGAATTTCAAAAAGGGGATGTTAAGGAATTAACATTCTTTGATTAACATGTTAAATGAAATAGCTTGACAGTTTATAAAGATATGAATCCTGTCTTGAAGATTGCAGTGTCTGGGGTGAGAACCATGTGAAAGAAGATAAGTCATGGTAAAATGGTTAAGAATATTCTTAATTGGAGAGTTGATTAGACGAACACATTGTGTTGTTTCTGTGTTTTGCCTTCAGATGCATAAAGATAAATTCTATAATTCTTAGAAGTTATCATTCTCAACATTAAACTTACTTTTTGTTGTTGCCACAATGTTTTCATCAATTTGTTTTAAAGTAATTTTCAAGTGTACAACCCACAAGGAAAGAAGATTCCCTTTCCTACAGAAATAATGTCACAAATATAAATGGTGGTTAATATGTTGACCAGGTAGGTTCTTCTCATTCTCAGCAATACGAGTCACACATCTGAAAATGATGGATCAGATGCAATGCAGTAGCAACAGTGCATTAGTTCAAAATCTTTTAGAATGATGACTTTTTTCAACATATGTAGTATTTCTCTATTCTCATTTTCCTAAAATATATGGAGGAGTGTTGACAAAGTTCTTGATCTAACCAACAAGCACTCTACTCTACTAAATCTGATGTTTGGTCAGATTTTGGGAAGTCTGATAGGATTTTTCAGCCAAGTTTGATTTTTATATAATATAACAGAGAGAGAATCTGCATTAAATTGCTGAAACCTGACGAGTGGACTGAACAATTACAAAAGTTTGTCTGTGAACACTTATCAGCTAAGTGACAAAGTGAAAGCAGAGAAATATTTCAGGTGACATGTTTCATTCTTTGGGACTTGGTCTGACTAAAGTGGTGTTTACATTAATGTGATTACACATGTTCATGAAGGAGGGGATTTAAATCTATTTTTCTTTTTTTTTTTAAATATGTGTTTGGGTATATAGTATATATACACTGATTTCAATTAGTTTCTTTCTCTTTGTGTTTGTTTTCTAGTATTGCACAAAAAAGTTTTTACACTTAGTCATGTTTTCCTAAAATTGTTTTAATATTTAAAAAAAAAAAAAAAAATTCCTTTATATATATATATATATATATATATATATATATAGAGAGAGAGAGAGAGATGTATGTATTTACTCTCTTTGTGTCAACTTTTGACACAAAGGTTTAAGTAATTTTGTAGTTGCATTGTACTTGTAAAATATTTTCTTGTATTTTCAAGTTCATTACGTTGAGAATAGCACAAAAACTATATGCATAGACATTTTATATATAATATTATGTAACTGTTAGTTATCATTGTTATTATCAGACCATATCAGCCATTGTGCTCCCTGGCTTTATCAGGTGATTGTTGATCTGGGTAAACCTACAAGGATTTAGAACTGAACCCTTTATTCAATACTGAGATTATTCCACTGATCATGTTTAGGGATATCTTATCTCATTCTTATTTAGTACTGCTCAGTTATAGCTTGCCCTTGTTTCTATTGAATCCAAGTATGCACTACCCATCCCAGGGATTGAACTCAGAATTTCACCAAATTCATGAACCAACATTTTAATCCACTAGGCTATTTTTCCACTGGAAACGGCAAGCAATAACTAAGCAATACTAAATAAATAAAGACAAGATTTCTCTTAGAAATGAACAGCAGAATGAGAATAATGACACAAACCTTGATAATAACAACAAAGATCAAGATAATAGTATGCATGTAAATAAATGTAAATAACTCCTCATCCCAGAAATTCATACAGAACCTGTCAATTTATTACATTTTTATTCTACAATCTAAGATTTGATTTAATGAGAATTCAATGAATAATTCAAATTTGTCTCCCTTATTGAGAAATGAATGCATGAGGAATTCTGCTTTTCTAGATTATTTAAAGTAAAAAAAAAATATATAAAGTGAAAAGAATTTTATCAACCTGGGTTCATTACTTAGTAACAAGATCTTCCATTGTTATGATAACAAAGAATATTTGCTCTTAAGTGGTGTTGATTAATGCCTCATGTTACCAAAACTATAATTAGTAAAATCTGAGAACAGGTTTTGTGATTCAGAAATCTTATTAATTTATATTTTATTGATGAGATTGGTGTAAGGTTTTTGTTCAAGCAAGATTCCATCAGGTAAGAATAGTCTGTTATAGTCTGTAAGAATAGTATCAGTTATTTTTTTTTCTTATGACTAATAAGACTGGTTAGGAGGAAATTGGGAAGCACTGTCAAAAAGAAAAAAAAAAAAAAAGATTTCAACTTGCTTTAACAATAAAATGGTGTTAAATTTTATTTATTTATTTTTAGATAAATTTTAATTTGTAAGGGATTCTCCCCACCCTCATTTCAAAGCAACAATTGTTGCTCATGAAACTGGCTAATATCCAAGCATATTATTTGTTTTTTTTTTTTGTTTTTTTTTTTTTTTTTTGAATTAATTCCTAAATGCAGTAGAAAATCCTCTTTTCTTCATTGATGTGATCTGAAAAATCAATATTGAGAATGCAAATACAATTAAGAAATTCTTGTGCATTTTAAATGAAAAGGTTGTTTCAATGTTATGCAGAAGAGGCAAAATAATGTCAACATGCTCATTGTTCAGTGTGAGGTTATCTAAACTCCAGCCATCAAGTGATGTTCTTTAGCAAGGATCTTTTTTTTTCCTTTCTTTTTTTGTGTTAATTTTACAGAAACTGATTAAATTTGTAATATTATTGCTTTTGTCGACCTGATTAAATATGTTGAAAAATGAAATGTATTATTGTGATTTTATGAGAATTAAAATTATCATTGCTGACACATGAAAGGCATACTTAGTTTTCTGTAAGTTTTCATTATAATTATTCTTCAAAGAATTTTGCGTTCAGGCTCAAAATGGAAAAAAAGCTAAAGATTAAATTATAATTATTTTATTTGAAGGTTGGTTATAAAGTCAAAATTTGGTTGTGCTTTTGATCTCTGCAAAATGTGTGTTTATATAATCTTATTTCGCACACCTTTTATTTAATCAGTATACTCTTTTACATCCTTATGAGTGGACCAAACAATTGCACAAAGGTTTGTCTAAGAAAGTCTGGAGTAGAGGTGCTGAATATAATATCAATCAGCTAAGTGACAAATTTTATATTTGTATTTATCATATATATTTTAGTGTATTGGGGCAGAAGATCATTATTCAAATATATATTGTTAAATATAACGCTAATGTCTATTATATTTGATTTAGGAGCTGCTCTAAGCTTCATATAGTTGCTTTAATTTTGGAAGAAAATAAAGACAAACTCCAACATTTGGATATGTTTTTTATTATGCTGTTCCTTGATTGAAGCTACATTAAAACGAAGCAACTCACACTCCTCAATAAAATTACATTTCAAGCTAGTCACAACACATTACATTGCATCTAAGCATATGGTTCTATTGTTAATATTTTGTTCTCTCACCTGGTACAATGTCATAGAACCGCATCACAAATTTGCGACCTGCATCTGCTATTCTGTGACCATTGTCGCATAGCCATCTTCTATATCAATATAACAGAATATCATCTTTGGTGAATATCTTTATTTAAATGTCTATATAACCACTCTGAAGGTGGCTCATGTGAGCTGAAAACTTAGATCGAGGAAGAGCATAATAAAAAAAAAAATAAAAATAAAAAAATCCGAATGTTACAGTTTTTGTCTTTATTTTCTTCTGAAATTAAAGCCACTGTATGAAGGTTAGAACGGCTCATGATCAAACATAATAGACATTTGTTGTCTGTTATATTTAACAATATATATATATGTATATATATATAGAGAGAGAGACACACATGGATAAGTGATTAGAACATTTGTTTTGTGACCATGAGACCTGGGTTTAAATCTCACTAGGTTCGATGTGTCAGGAAGGTGACTTCTTGATGTTATTGCTCTGAAGTGGTTATACCAGAATGCAACATCTTTGGAGAGCACAAGTCAACCCAAGCTTTGTGAGTGAAATTAGGCTGACTTATCCATTTGTATGGTTGTGTTAGAACAATCTCAAGTAATTATTACTAAAGTCCCGGGCATACTGGCCTTGTTTGTGTTGTTTTTTTTTTTTTTTTTTGTTTTTTTTAAATGAATCCCACCAGATCACTCTCTCACTGTAACTAAGGTCCACTCAGCATAGTTACAGTATAAACCACAAGTATTCACTGTGGGTTGTACTGGCATCTGATAGGGATTGGCTAGCTGCCCTGGCAGGCAGGAATGTTCAGAAACGAGTAGTAGCCAGTCATATGCTGTTTACTACAATCACGGATAACATTATCAAAATTGGTCTGTAGCAGACACTTTAAAATGAATTCAAAATAATTAAGTCAATAAATTTAATAACATTGAATGTCAATGCTTTTACTTTTGATATCCTTTGCTTAATACTATCAGCTTTTTGCTTATCTAAAAGCTTATGGCCATATCATGTTGAAACATTGGTCCTAATATGATCACTGAAGTTAAGCAATGTTGTGCCTGGTCAGTACCTAAATGGGTGACTGCTTAGGAATACCAGCTGATGTAAGCATGAATATGTAAATGGTGTAATGGATAACAACTCAGAATTGGAGCCAAGTTCCAATTCCAATTGGGTTTTTTATATTTATTTAAGCACAAATACCCTTGGGAAAGGTATGAATCCACCTCTTCTACCCTCAACTAATTAAGTAGGACTTGTATCAGTAAATCATTATTACCCCCCACCCAAATTCTTACACTCTAGTTATATCTTCTGGCTTTAAATAATCTGCAAAAAGTTGATAACCCATAAAAAGCAATCAATTTTCTTATCTGGAAAAAAAAAAGATTATGTCAAAGAAATAAGCATGTTTATTTCTAAATATTTCTGCTTTGTGTTTGTGAGAATGTTTAAATTGGAAGGTGCTGAAAAGTTCTGAACCCAATCCACTTCCTAAAATATGACTAATCAACATCATAACTTTTTTTTCCAATGGATTTCTTTTCAGCATTTGTTTTAAAATGTGAATTTGAGAAGTGTATTAAGCTAATAATCTTTCAAAATCATTCTTGTATGCACACACATTATTTTTTTTTTTTTTTTTTTACTTATTTCACCCCAAGAAAGTCGGTAAATGGGGGAAAAAATAATAATAAAGAGATAAACATTAAGGAGAAAGAACAATAAAAGAGGAATCAAGAAGACGGATAATGATTGACATATCATTTGGATTTTTGGCTAGGAAGCATGGAGCTGGAAGAGAGTTCCACAAGGAAGAAGTGCAAGAGAAGAAACTGTTAACATAGAACTTCCGGTTACATCTAGCCAGTTCAATTGCAAATTGACGAGACCTTGCTGCCAATTTACTACTGTGCTTAAATTCATAAAGTCTAGGTACAATAGAGGAAAGTTTGTCAGAAAAATTAACATGAAAGTATTCGTCTAAAATGTTTTTATTGCTTAACTAATTGCATTAGAGAAGTATTTTAAGAGTTCAGTTCATGTTCCAAATTATATTTAATAGTGTAAAGATGTTAAGTTCCTATTTAATTGTTCTTTGTTTTGACTTCATTAAAGAAAATATTTGGGATGGGGTTGTAACTTTTCCAAAAACATGTGACCTTAATTAGAACATCTCTAATATGATGAGTGCATGAACTTTTAGGATTTAAATCCTCTGCATTTGTAGACCTTTTATGAAAGAATAAATGTAGCAGATTCCTAAGAGCAGCAAATATTCCTCGCCAACCACTGCAAGATTGTTCTGCAGTGGGTGCTGCTTCTGCACAGCGTGGCATTTCGAAGTATTTGTATGAAAAGATCTTTTTTGTAACCTTGCCTGATTGCAGTGTAGGTTGCAGTAGTACTTGAGTTTGTTACCATGACAATGTCAGCTGCTACTAGCTTCATTGTCATTTGTTATCATTGTTGTTGTTGCTGTTAATGATATCTACATTGTTTACTAATGCAGGAACTATTGTTGTACTTAGGTAAGATGGCGCCTTTTGATGCTTCTTCAAGATGTGTTGGCCGTCTCACCTGGCTTGCTCAGGAGTTGGTCAGTTCAATGGTAAATGAAGCATGTGATATGCTGCATAATCATCGTTCTTTATTTTATTTTCTTCTAGTTCCATTCACTGCCAGCAATTAGATTCTGCCCCCTTCCCCCATCAGAATTGCACTGTTTACTTAGACTCATTAGGTATCTTGATTTCATGTAATTTGTTTCTCTTTTATTACAATTGCAACTCAGATATATTCAGGCTTCTTATTGCTAACGCTTTATCAGCCACAATGTGTGTGCGTGCTAAGGTATAAAATCAATAAGTCAATAACCTTATCAATAGAAATTTATTTTAGATAACAATATTTATCAACATAATCTCATTTGTCAATGCACCTTACTCAATCCTTCTATATAGATGACATAGATCAAATATTATACAGCAAAAATTTAGCTAATAACTTGGCTTTATATATATATATATATATATATATATATATATATATAATATTGATTTTTTTAATCCAACATGTTTATTACTTCAAACCCTACTATTTTAGTGGATACCTGTATTTGAAATACATGCCCTGTTCTTAGATGTAATACACTGTTTTAAATAGACCATTCTTATATATATATATATATATATATATATATATATATATATATACACACACATTATAAGTGAAGCACATATATTTAGTCATGGTTAATAAAAATATACAGGTTGAGTGTTATGTTTATTGACAATATTTTACAATTCGAAATGCCCATCCTTGCTTTCACCATGCTGCTCAATCTCCTCTTAACTGAAGTACATGACTGCTTCTCCGCCTCCTCTCTCAAATTATACCACATTGTTATAAGAGCTTCTTTCGGGTTTGACTCACTTGAGAGAAATATTGCTCTCCAATATAGCCATATTGCAAAGTCCATAGGATTAATGTCGGGGCTTGATGGAAACTAAATTGACTTGTCAAAAGATTTGCGGAAATGTCTCTTGCACCAGTTCTTCATTAAATTGGTTGTGTTGGAGATCTATCTTGAGTGAAAAAATAGCAACTTCCAAATGTGGCTGACAACTAGACCAAAATGTCTCACTCCAACATTTCCTTGTAAACTCTGTTTTCATTCATTCAGTGAACACTAATTGTGATTTTTGAACCATCAGAAGCAGAAGCAGGCCAAACCATGACACCAGTTGGTTTCTGTCGCTTGAAATGTGTTCTGATACCTTCAAGAATATCATTTTAGTAGTTAATCACAGCCTCTACAATAACAAATTCATTGTCCAATGAGAACTTTGTATGTGGCACACATTTCCTCCAACATTTTCTTTCCCTCTGCCAAGCCATTTTTGCTTGGAGGTGCTGGAGAGTGGCTACAGTCATTGAATTTTGTATGGTGTTAGCCTTTAGTCCTCTTTCACAGTCCTCCTTAGCAACCTATCCAAAATAGCCAGCTCTTTTGCCACCTTCTTTATGCTTCTTTATGGATTTCTCTTCAACCTGTTCTTGATGTCTTCAGTAACTCTCCTGTTATAAACTGAACAGTTTCTTGTAATTAGGGAAGTTATTTTGCTCCTCTTGAAAATTTTCCAACATATTAAAAACAGTTTTTCTGCAAACCTTCAACTGTTTTATCACTTCAAAATTCTTCATACTATCCTTTTCTAATGTGACAATTTGATCACATTTTGTCTGAGCTGGCATAAATAATAAAACAGAAGAATGCAAAAAGTCTTATGCAAAATTTGAAACTATTGTTTGTTATATATATATATATATATATATATATATATTATATATATATATATATATATAAAATAACATTTATTGCAATGGATATCAGATCAGAATGGTAACTTGGAAAACAAAGTTTAAATTCAGATCTGGGTCATTACATTCACTTACATGCAAATACTCTTGGGAAAGTCTTTTCCACCCAGCTATGGGTTAAATAGAGAATAGACTTGGCTCTTCAGCCTATTTAGGCAACCAGTCTAAGAGAAGGATAATTCTAAATTCAAAACCTGAGAAGGGTTTCTTGGGAACTCTATATAGCACACTGTGCATTGGTTTTCTGTATCCAGCTCTTACAAAAAGTGTGAATGGCTCTGTACAAGCCTTCATCACTATAATCAAATATTATGTGCGGCTGGTCTGACTGTTTTGGTCTAGGAGCTGCAGATGTTGAGGGTGCTGGGAAAGTTCATCATAACATATATAAATTCCTTATTGCTATTAATATTTAAGAAATTTTCAGATTAAAGTAATACATGAATGGCTAAAAATAACTTTATTTTCGTAACCAAAATGTGAACAAATTTAGCTGATGTGGGCTTCGAAAGGTTTCATCGATATATGTGCATCTCTTAGAAAGATTAAATAAGCCTTGCTTTGAAGTTACTCATGGCTCACTGGTTTAAGCATATCTAACTTCATGGTGGTTTTACCATCATAAAGGGAATGCAAGTTCAATCCTTGCCAAGAGCTACATCTCCTTTTAATAAGGCTTTCATTGCTCAGATAAGTTGGTGTTAATTTTTTAATTTTTTTTAAACAGCAATATCTGCTCAAAAACAAATGTACCCATTTTATATATATATATATATATATATAATTTGAGGAGGCGCAGTGGAGTAATGGATAGTGGCTTGGATTGAGGAATCTGAGAGCTGAGTTCGAATTCCAGTCAAATCCATTACATTCACTTATGCGCTAATACTCTTGGGAAAGATATGAAGTCTCTTCTTCTCCCTCCAGCTATGGGTAAATAGCAGGATAGACTGGGTTCTCTAGCCTTGGATGGCAACTGGTCTAGGCGAAGGTCATTTGGGGACCTTGTGGCACATAGTGCATCAGGCCTCTGTATTACAAACCTTCACCACTATAATCAAATCTCATGTGCTGGTGTCAGGCTGTTGGTTTCCTAGGAACTGATCTGCTTGACTCTCATACGTTGAATTTGACAGGAGAGTTATGTGTGTGTATATATATATATATATATATATATATATATATATATATAGTTTCCAAGAGGATAGAATCCAGGTAGAACTCAATGTCCAGGACAGAGTAAGAATAAATTTGGTTCCTGGAAAAATGTGATTATTTAGATATTTTCAAATGTAGTTTAGTTAAAATGAATTAAGAACCTAGAAACATTTTCTGCAGAGTTTGTATAGACATTCATGGACCTAATGTCAATTTAATGAAACATCTTTCATATCTCTTTCTCAGGTTTTTTATTTGTTTTTTCCTTGTGTGTACAAGTATATAAGATATAGTGTCATAAAGGTATACAGTATCCACTACATGGATACTTGAGAAGTATTTGACTTTGCTTTTAGAGTCCCATCTCCTCTCATTTTCATTTCCATGCAGTATAAGATGATGTATAGCTATATAAAAAGCTATGTACCCATTATTGTCGTCTCTAATTTCAAATAATACTATCATTGAAGAGTTGCCAGTTCATAGCCAGAATACTAACTCTTGTGTGGTATAGATGCAAGCAAGAGTTTAGAGAAAATCATAACATAATAGAATGACCTTTGCTC